ACACACACACACACTCTCACGCAGTCAAATGTGTTCAGAATCCAAAACCAACTTCTTTTCTCTCCTTATCATCACACCTGCCCAACACTTCCTTATCACCTAGGTTCCCTTCACACATGTCGACTGAAATCTGATCCAGTCCCAGCCCCCTAGGGACACGCTGTTCCATTTCATTCAACTTACTGCGGAATTCCTCGGCACTGCACCCATCTTTGCCGCCGCCCTCGCAAAAAACATCATCTGCACAACCGCATAACCACTCTGCCTCGACTGTAATCAACACAATTGTTCGAACTCTAAAATTGCGAGGAGCCTTATCAATACAATGAGTTCTCTGTAGTCTATAACCAAACGCTTGACCTTTGATCAGCGGCCAGAAATTAAAGAACACAAAGCGAGTGAAGAAACAGTGACTCACCCACAGTCGTTTCTGGAGGCTGCGTTTGCTCCTGCGGCAGAAACTGTCAACAAGCACCAATTGAAAATGATGAGTTACTAAAAACTTGGACTAAAATTGAATAGCATTAGGAATCTTGATTGTCTACGGTAAAGAATGTAAAGAACCACAGGTTAAAAAAAAGACTGACGGTAAAACAATTGTCTCTATTTTCAGTGATTTAATCGAAGAATTTGAACATCTCTGGAGGCGTTTATAGATTTGTCCCGGGCATTTACTCATAATACGCCCTCAAGTTTGAATTTACATTTAAAGGTCTGCATGCACGAGAGGTTTTTAATTCATATTTGCAGATGCCCATGCACCTTTTGAACTATTTATGAAGTTCTGTAAATATTCTTGCAAAACACACACCGAGTTGATAACGCACACACAACTGACCTCACAGATCTAAATGTTTGGGAAGCACAAACAAATCCTTTTGCTCCAATAATATTCCCCATACCACTCGTTAACTATACAAGATATATATATATATGATTCTACAGTCTGACGTCCCTGAAGAACCCACGAGACTGCCCCGAGGTGTCTTCAAATGGATGAATCAGTCTGCCGCCCATGCCCGGACATCACGCATCTGATGCTATCACCTTTCCCATTCTTTTTCCCACAACGCCACAGTAAATTACTAGAAGATGAAAAAAGATGGGGAAAAAAACCCCAAAAACAACAACACACACACCACAAGAAGTTAGCTGATTTATATACCTGTGGATTTGTTTGTGTTCCAGGTGTTGCATGTTTGTTTGTTAATAGCGGTGAGGCAGTTGGTGATACATTGTGCATTTCTTTTTACGCTATCCCTTTATTACCCCCCCCCCTTTTCTGCCCGTCATATCTATCTATCTATCTATCTATCTATCTATCTATCTATCTATCTATCTATCTATCTATCTATCTATCTATATGCATGCTACTATTATTTATAATACTGGCAGTGGGAAGTGGAGAAAAAATGACCTTGCCTCCAAGCATTATTACCTATGACGCACGGTCTCTCTCCCTCTCTCTCTCTCTCTCTCTCTCTCTCTCTCTCTCTCTCTCTCTCTCAAAGCTTCCACAAACAGCGCACCAGCAGTCGGAACCTTATCAGTTGTGTCAAGCCAGTGGCCCTATACACGGATCCTCACAACTCAAAAAGAACTAATAAATAAATCAATATCACTTACCACAATCAGTAGAGAATCCAAAAGTCAGCCAAGCTAAAAGAACAGGTGGAGAACCATCATTATACAGCCTTAAAATACTCAAATATATCTATTTCAGCAAAGGTACGAAATCCTACCAAACCCGAGAGTCTGAAGCAGGTACATCTGTAATCCTTTTAGGAGAATGTGTCTCCCATTGAGTCTGAGAGGCAAACATATGCGGCTAAATAGTCTAATTAGCCCCACCCCCCACGTAATAACGCCTAAAAATATGTCATTTATAACCAGAGGGTCAAGGTAGCGGGGGCACACAACCAGAGCGCTTGATTACATGGTATGCAAACCAAGAAGCTCCGCAACAATAGAAGACTTGTAACATGCAGTTGTTAAAGTATGCAGCTGCTCTAGACAATATAGATTCCAATTTTAAACACACCGCACTCAGGTGTGCACTGATTTCTATACCTGAAATAGATCCCACTGAGATGAAGATTTATTAGGGGAACCTGGCTTTCCTGTCCTGTTGGTGGGTTCAATTTTTTAGATAGTCCAGATCTGATGGTGAACACTTTTATCTGTCTGTTACTGCAGCATTTTACTTTGATGCAGTTCCCAAGTCATCCATGGGAGTTAGTTTGTGAAAATTCAGTTTTTCATTCAGCTTGATACATGTTTTAGATGATGAAATCTTCTTAGAAGTGACGACAGGGTGTTTGAAAAGTGATCGTCTTTGAAATGGGCTGAACCATATTGTCTACATGTGTGTGTGTGACATGTTAACGATTGTCGTATGCTGACGAGAGCTACCCAAATGCTGCTAGTCCCCATCTGTTTGTCATGGGGAGCGCTGCGCCCTACATGCAGTCCTTCTAATAATAGGATTCTTATTTTAACTTACATACCGTACATACTCCAATCCCCGAGGAAAATATTGCTGAATCAATTTAGAAAGTAAAAAGAAAAAAGAAAAAGACAGAAAAAACCGTTAAAAGTAAAGGTCCTTCATTCCATTTAATCCATCTGGTGTGATAGCATTGTAGACAGGGAGGGACAGGAAAACAAAAAGATCATCAAGGACGTGAATTCGACTCCATCCCAGGCCACTCGTCCAGTAGATTATTTTACCGCTGACTCATTAGGCTTGACTTATGTTGTAAAAACTCACTAATAAATCATGTCGAACATACACTCCAAGCTCAAATCTTCGTGTGTGTGTGTGTGTGTGTGTGTGTGTGTGTGTGTGTGTGTGTGTGTGTGTACATGTGTGTGTGTGTGTACATGTGTGTTTTATGTTCTATCGACTCACCTGCTTCATGACTCCTGACTTACTTTGCAGCGTTTAGCTCCATCTTGGAGATGACGCTTCCGTTTACTTCCAAGCATCCGTTTAACTGGTAACTCGTCGAATTATTATCTCCAGAATATCAGGTAGAAAGTTTTGTAGGTTGGCAAAAAAACTCATTTACCTGTCTGTGCAGGTGGTGAACCACATTAAGCAATCGTTGTTGACAGATCCCTCATCTCACAATCGGGAACAAAAGAGATTTCTGTTTTTTCTTTTTCCTTTTTTTATGTCTAAACATAGAATATTTATTTATGTTGGTAGATAGCATACGGTTAATGGGTTCATGAGTATTGAAGGGTTATATATAAAATAAAGGAATTGCCCGTTTTGCAAGTATATTTATGACTCGTCATTGTACCTATGTGTTCCTCATTATGAGCAATCCAGTGTCCTTTTTGGCATCTTAAAATGTATTTATAGAATTGTGATGAGATATGTTTGACAGACTATAAGCAAACATTTACTACCATTTAAATACATGAAAGTTCTTGGCATAACACTTGTATTCTGTGTTTTTTTTGTGCTTTCTGTTTCATGTTGTAGGCTGAACTTGTTTGTCTGGTTTTCCTTCGATGTAGTCTACTAAAGCCAATTTTACATTGAAGCAAATTTTCTTTGGTGGCAGGCTCTTTTAAAAAGAGGTTGTATGGGAGAATCATCTCTTAACACGATTTAGGAAACATTCGGTCTGAATCATACTGTGCTTGATTGTGTGTGACTCAGAATGGTCGAAGACAGAAGAATGTATTTCTAATAGATATTGTTAGTGTTTATTTACATCTTCACTTTTTTTATCCTTGACATACATTATGTTCACGGGCAATCCAACTATTATGTTTTAGCGTTAGGTATCAGACCCAGAAGCAAAGTTTACGCAGGCAAGGGGTGGGGGAGGGGGCTGGGGGTCCTGTGTTGTTTGGTGCAAGGACGGCCTGCTTGCGCATTCCCGTTGAACTGACATGGTTATGTTTCGGTGTTTTGCAGGTGAGCACAGGTGATGTAAGCAAAGTGATGTATACAAAACGTGTTCAAAGAATGTACTGTCATAAAATTACATTTCGCTATTATTTGCAGTGTAATGATTTAGGTTGAATGAGTTTGCGTGAAACACAATGCAAATCAGAGTAGCATACACTGAGTTATACAGACGACAAACCTGTAAATCAATGATGTGTATTTTAAACGTTGGCACATTTATATTTGATATACTGTTAGGGTTACTGCTGGTCTCACAGCAAATAGTTGTCTAACAAACCCCAGTCAGTTTACGCTACATGTGTGGTGATCTCATGATGACATGACAAAACACACTGTAACGGGTCCTGACGGGAGCGCGTGGCTGAGGGGCGTAGCTACAGCAAGCACAAGGATCTACCTGGAGGAGCTGGTATATGGAGGACCAAACGAGTCACACACATTAAACTAAAGAATTATCTGCTTAAATAGTAAATTGTGCAATAAAATATGTATTTGTAAATTCATTTATGAATTCATTTTTTAAATTATTTTATTAGCTGATGTACACAGCAAATCCAGCATGTCCAAATTAACACTGTCGGATTTGATTTCAACACTATTAAAGTGTCTATATGGGTCCACACCAGAGAGTGTTAATTTAACTCTTTTTGGAGAGTTGGTAGGTTAACTCTGATTTAGTGTTAAACACCAAATCTGTCTGGAGTTGATAATTTAACACTTACTAATGCTAACTAGGTGTTAAGAGTTTATATATTATGTCATGGTCCGGAGTCTGCGACTCTGTGTTTATGTTTAGTTTATTAGTATTCTGTGGTTTTGGTTGCCTTGGGTGTTTGTACTCTTCTGTTTCATGGTTCATGTTCCTACACAGGAAATTTCCCAGTGTTAAATCAGCAGTGTTAAAGTGTATTTACTCTGATAGAGTCATTATGACAACAGCTGGAGCAAAACGCCCCCCAGTGTGGGTGATGATTCCTGGAATTAAAAGAGGCAGTGTCAACGTTACTCTAGAAAGCTCCTCCCACCACAGACTGGTTTTCAAACCAAGAGGATTTTTCACCACGCCATTTTCTTCACATCAGTTGCAGGGTAAGTTGTTCATATTTACTCATTAAACCAACAATTCGACATTTTAAGCACAGGTAGCACGTTAAAATAAGGTTACATTCCTTTTGTCCATGTTTATTATATATTTCATTTTGTACCAGAAGCAAATGTGACACTGTCTGTATGCTAATGTAAGGTTGTTAATTAGCTAAAAAAGTTGACTGATATCAGTGTTGGACTGTAAGGCTTGTTATCAAAATTTATTTCAGTGTGTAGTGGTGATTGTGTTGTGTTCTAGCATGTTCGAAATTCCATTAAATGAAACCCTCCATGTGTTGGGATCTACATATTAACATTAGCTAGCTAACTAGCATTTTGGCTAACCTCAGTGCGCGGGCAATTCGCTAGTTATCGTTAAATTTTAAATTACCTAACTCAAGCATTAACTAATTAAAATTTTACACTAAATGTTACATCTTTCTGTTTTTCTTTTTTTGATACCTAGGTACCAGATATAGAGGTCGTTTTCAGTAAGGTTATTGTCTTATTTTAACTCGGCTGTCTTCAGCGATTTTACAGTTACAGGATTACAACCAGCAGGTGTTATAAGCTTGATAAAATATCCAAAATGTCCAGGATGCAGTTTTTAACGCTTTTTTTTAGTAGTTTGAATTTAAGATGACAGCATTTGTATTTATTGTGAGTTGATGGTATTGACAAAAGTTACCCTACTGCTTTTTCCATTTTGGTTACCAGACTGTTCAGTATGTTAAACTAAAGATGAACAAAATACTGACTCCCTAGTGCTAAGTTAGGTCAGACAAATGGTAAAAAGTAGTAGTTATTATTTTAGTTTTGTATTGAGGATTATATCTTGACACCTTGTTACACTGATATAAAAGTAACATACAGTGTAAGAAATCACATTGCAAGGCTGTTTATGGGACTGTTTTAATATTCACATTTTCTGTTTACTGTAGTTCAATGAAGAGCACTGACTATAAGAAATTACTGTCTACAGGAAGCATGCTGCTTAAAGCAAAACTCGGAGGTGTGCAGAAATTTGTTAGAGTATCTGAGCCAAGCCTTAAGGAGTTTTTGATTGCCGGTAAGAAACCAACATTGTATTAAAAAGGTGTACAAGGGGCTTTAAGTTCTTTTTGTTATTTAGTCTCTTCAAACTGCATTTTATGATTAATTGAAAATGATCTGTGTTTTGGAAGCATCTTAGTTATGAATGTATATTTAGTGGGGGAAAAAACTGGATAATGTGAGTGTCACTCCTTTTAATCTACCACTTATCAAGCATGTTAGTGGCGCTTGATAATTTAGCCTTTGTTTATCTGACTCATTTTTGAAAGAGTATCTTGAAATGATCTTCATTTTAAGCTACAAAACATTAAATGTCATGTCTTTTTGTTTACACAAACTTGTGTGCTTGTTTCCAGCATTTGCAAAGTTTGGTGCGCCAGCCGTAACAGAAGGAGTGAAAGTTTTTGATAGTTCAGGGACTGAGTTGGATGAGGATGTTTTTGAGGATATAGTAACAGATCCCTCAATCGGGGTACTAACCATCAAATATGAAACGGGTTTGTTTGAGTGATTTGTGTTTCATTGGATGTCTTTTTTTTTTAGTGTCATTATTACATTGTTTAATCAAAGAGTGTATAAAATGAGTCTATGGAGGGACCATGTAAACTGATTTGTTTTGCTCCTATTTTTAAGGTCTGGAAACATCTGTTGCAGAAGTGTCTCCTGAGCGGTTCCAGTTATCATCGCCACATTCATCAGATTCACAGGATACGGTCATCCTTTCAGACAGCCCTTTGAGGAAACGTCAGAAGCTGGATGCAGAAGCTAAGCAAGTAAGAGTTAACAGATTTCCACATTCTTCTAATGGTTCTGTATCAATAATGGTTATCAAATGTTATTATTAGTTTTGATAAAGTTGTATTTCATATTGTCTAGCACCAGGAGATGGATCATCGGGTGAAGACCAGTGTGGTGGACCAACTGTCAGACGAGAGTTGCAGTTTGTTACAGAGAACGTGCTGAGTGAGGATGAGTGCAAGGAAGCAATCTCTCTGATGAAACATTCAGCTGATGAAGACACAGTCAAGAAGAAGATGAAGTTGACATTTGTTTATCGACATAACGTGGTCCTTGACCCCCTGCTGTCAAGCAACATACTGTCTGTGTTTCCACGTTTCAAAGATATCAAAGGCTTGGTGAATATTTTTCATTACGTTGACAATGTAAACACATTTTATTTTTTGCAGATAGCAGATATAATTCTCTGTTCTCTATCCCTGTTACAGATCGAACAGGATTTTGTACTGATGTTTGGTGAGGATGTATCAGGCAGGTTGCTGGAGAGGTGGCCAACAACATTCAAAAGAAGAGATTATCCAACAAGGCAGAAAGCTTCCTTCTACCAGTGACCTGGAAGAACTCTTGCTGGCAGCTGACTCTCCTGAGGATGCCACTGAAGTTAATCGCTGACATTGACTGTTATCTTCTTTAATTAGACATTCACAGGATATATAATGTTTGTCACAGAACAGCTGTCCTTTTGTATTTTGGGTCTACTCAAACATTTTGTCAATGCAGATGCATTGAAATTTGTTATTGATGAGGATGATTCAACTTTATTAAAAACAAATATTTTTTTCAGGCTGGGACAGTGACCTCTCAGCGATTCTATTGCTATTACATTTAATTCCACCATCTGGTCAGGGTCGGAAGAGACAATCAGGAAAGGTGTCAGCGTGGTCTCAAGCAGAAAGGCATCTTGTGGTCTTCGCTTCCGGAACACACCGACAAGGACACTCCCTTCACAAGAACCCAGAGATGTATTCTGAGGCAGTGATTCACCTCAACGACTATATTCTACCTGAACCGAGTCATTCCCACCGTGAATTATCTCAAGCGAACTCTTGTCTAAGAAGTGTTTCTTTTATTTATGTATTCCAGTTTAGAACTTGATTCTTATTGCCTGTCTGTATTTGTCTTTTCAGACTGGAACAAATATCCAAGAGCACCTTGATGCCATCACTACCAGCACTCAACCCTACCTCCTGGCTGTTGGGGTGAAAAAGAATGACATCCACCGGTTCTTCATTATTCTTGACAAGAATGCCATCCATGCAAGTCTACCTCTTCACTTGGTCTTTGATGAACTGTTTAAAGCACATTTTGTGTTTGGCACATCTTACAACACCATGCTTCACAACATGTACACGTTCATCCAAACCACTGTGTACAATATAGATGTTGGCAAAATCAAAGAAAGTCCCAGAGTTGCTGAAATAAGGACAAGGTTGCTTCGTTAGGGCTTGAAGGTTAATTCTCCATCATGAAGTGTTTTGTCTGTCAGGCTGAGTTTACTGGTTCAAACATGCTTGTTAGGCATTTACGGTTAGTCCATGGTTACTTACCTGGAAGAAATCTTCGCCTTAAATGTGCCCAGCGTGACTGTGGCTGTGTGTTTGGCACTTTTTCAGGTTTTAGAAAACATTTAAATACCAAACACCTTAAGTATTTCGACCAACAGGCTGACACTGATGTTAATTTACAGCCTGATGTGGCAGTTAAAGAAGTTAGCACTACAGGGAGGTGGTGTCAACTAATGTAGAAGAAACACCCACAACATCTGAAAATGTTGAAGTCAAATAAGAGCACTTTGGATATGTGTGCCTCTCTGTTGCACAGCTCAGGGCAGCTGGATTAAGCCAATCTACTGTGAATAGTTTTGTCTCCTCAATGGAGGAAGTGTTTTTTGAGATTCATACTCAGGCTAAAGATGCAGCTTTACAGAGCTGACCTTCACAGGACACTTCAAGTAAAAAGAAATTAGAGCAGTCATTCAAAAACTTTGAAAACCCATTCACACTGTTAAATTCAGAAGCTAAACGAAATAGGCACTTTAAACAAAAATGGGCAACTGTTGAACCTGTTGAAATGGTGCTTGGCACAAGATTTGACAGTAGAAGAAACAAGATCACAGGGACTTTTGATCAAGTCATTGTAACCGATAGGTTTGCATATGTTCCTATTTTGTAAACACTGAAAACTATCTTTCAAAACCACCATGTTGTCAACATGTTCAAGTCAAGGAATATGTCCAGAGAAGGTGTGTATTCAGACTTAATCGATGCTGCCTATGTTAAAAGATGTCCCCTATTTTCTGCAGAAAAAGATGCCTTACAAATTCAACCGTTTTATGATGACTTTGAAACTGCAAATCCCCTGGGCTCTAAAAAGGGTGTACATAAATTGGGTGCAATATACTTTACACTAAGGAATTTTCTTCCAATCTTTAATTCGTTGTTGGTCAATTTTCATTTGTGTGCTCTTTTTCATGCACAAGACTCAAAGCGTTATGGCTTTAATTCAATCCTTGAGCCACTTGTCAATGATCTGAAAGTTCTTGAGACAGAGGGACTGAAACTTCCCATGTTTAAACACTTGGTTCATGGCACTGTAATCCAGGTCACTGGGGACAATCTTGGCTTGCATAGTCTGTTTGGGTTCGTGGAGTCATTTGCAGCTCGATATTGTTGTCGTTTTTGTCTGCTTGAGAAGGATTGTTTTCAAAGTGTGTTCTGTGAAGATGATTCTGGTGTTGCACTAAGAACTCTTGATATGCATAAGCAGCACTGTGAAAGTGTACAAAGAGATCCTACGCTACCTCATGTATGTGGTGTGAAACGCACTTGTCTCTTGAATTCACTTAAATATTTCAACACAGCCAACAATTTTTCTGTAGATATCATGCATGACATTTTGGAGGGAGTTGCTCAGTTAGAGGTGAAACTTGTGCTGCAGTACATTCATGAGAACTTCCTAAGTGCTGAACAACTTGCTGGTAGAATACATGCCTTTGACTATGGCTTCAATCAGCAGCGAAATCGCCCACCAAGGGTAAAGTTGTTTGATGGCAGTAATGATTTAGGACTAAATGCAATTCAATCTTGGTGCTTATTGCGTAATGTACCTTTGATGTTTGGCGATTTGGTACAGGTGGGTGATAGCTACTGGCATCTTCTACTTCTGCTTCTACAAATTGTCAATATTGTGTTTTCACCAGTGCTGTCAGAAGGTATGACCATCTACCTCAAACATTTAATTATTGATCATCATCAGCTCTTTAAGCAGTTATTTCCTACACTCAGTCTCCTACCAAAGCATCACTTCATGATACATTACCCTCGCAGTATATGAAATATTGGCCCAATTCTGCACATGTGGTGCATGCGTTACGAAGCTAAACATAACTTCTTTAAGAAGCAATTAAAAAGCTTTAAAAACATTACAATGACATTGGCCAAGAAACACCAAAGTTGTATGGCCATGTATTGGGAGTCTTTTAGCCTCGAAAGATTAGCTTTAGGACCAGGAAAGATGGTGACACTTGGAGAGCTGAAAGAAGGTCCAGAAATTGCTTTAAAATTTGGAGCTGCGTTGTCTACCAGTGTTTTTTCAGCTAAGTGGATAAAACATCATGGTACAGAGTACCGCCCTGACTTTATCATCTGTACAGAGGTAGTGTCTGAGATTCCAGTGTTTTATAAGATCAAAAGTATTGTTGTGAAAGATGACATTGTATTGCTCTGTGGAAAACTGATGGAAACCCTGTGTTTTGATGACCATTATCATGCATTTAAGGTCAGAATGCACCCCAATATGGTGCTGAAGGTGTTGAACATACAGTAAAAGAGCTGTGTTACTTCAAACCATTTGATCTTCAAATGAAGTATGGCACTTCTGATTCCTCCCTGTATGTGGTTCCATATTGTCATTTTATGCCGAACTAAATTCATTGTTTTAAAGTGTTTTATGACTGTTTTTGTGTGTGTAGTGTTTTATGTACACTACATGAGATGTTTTAATATTTTGAGCCTGACATCAAAATAAAGCCGTTAAACGTATTATCTAGTTGTGGTTTTTGCTTACTTGTTTTATATTTTAAAGCATTATTAGAAACCAGGTTGTCATGCTGGAAGAGGAAGAGTTTTAGTAACACTACTTGGTGTAAAATTAATTTAAAATTTTACTCTATGAGAGCTAATTTTTCACAAGAAAAAGTGTATGAATAACACAGTATAGAGTAACATCAACTCTCATCAGAGTTATTTGAACCCCCAGTGTTAACTTGAAATAACTCAATTCAGTGTTAAAAATCAGTGGAATTTTACTCAAATAAAGTTAATTTATCACTATGTTAGAGTAAATAATATGACACTACTAGTAGTGTTAGGTTCATTTAACACTCTGCGGTGTTACTCAGAGTTAAATTTTTACTCTATTTAGAGTTAAGTTTACTCTAAAATTTTAACACTATAGAAAGAGTTGATTTAACACCAATTCCGAATGGGACCAAATAGACTCGGGACCAGTGTTAAATTTAACTCTTTAAGTGTTATTTTAACACTCTGAATTTTACTGTGTGCATTTTCTAATTGTGGACCCCCAGGACAGAATCTTCAGATAATGTCTTCTGCTCATCGCAACAACTAGAGGGAAAAGCAACCTCAAATGTTCAGGCACCCTCTTTTATGCTCTTTTGCCTACCCCTTCCTCTCCTTCTGTCTATCCTATCCAGTCCTTGTTCTAAGTATAATCACCCAATGTCCAGCCACATCCTATCATCCTATCCATTTTCAACCTTTTGCCTACTTTTAACTAAGGCAAATTACTTACTTCATTGAAATAATATCATTATGTTTTACTACTAACCCGATGTTTGCCTACTGGTGGTGGTCAGGTGGCGCCAGTGTCCGGCAGCCTCACCTCTGTCAGTGTGCCCCAGGGCAGTTGTGGCTACAATGTAGCTTGCCATCACCAGTGTGTGAATGATTGACTGTCATTAGGGACTAAGTAAAGTGCTATACAAATGCAGACCATTTGCAGGCTATTTACACCTCTACAAACACCTTACAATAATCAACAAAAACTACCACAAATCCACTACAAACTGGACGTTGGAGCAATATTCTTATTTGCACACTCCGTCACATAGTTCTGAACACACACCTAAATTATATTATATTTGCACATTTTGCATTTTGCTCATGTCTTTGTTATGTCTCGTCAATAATATCCTGACTATAACTTGAAACTGGTATTCAATACCTACTGCACATTCCACTTTGTATTGTCTCTGTCCTGTCTTTGTTTATCTTTATTTATCGTACAGTTAATATTGTATAGTTACCATTATAGTATTGCATAGAATTGTATAGTTACCATTATAGTATTGTATAGAATTGTATAGTTAGTAATTAGTACCTTTTTATCTCTTAATTTTTACCGAAATATACAGCAAATCAATAGAACATTTACATTAATAATTTTGAAATTAACGATTTCTTTTTCCAAATGTTATTTATTTGTAATTCCTAGTTTTATATCTCTTGGAGATATGTCCTTTATATATTTATAAATGCACCATGCGGGGCTTAGGGTGAAACAGCATTTCGGTACACTGTATATTGTGTATACTA